TGACTCGGCCCTGCACATCATAATTCATAAGGCATGGTTTCATTCAACCCCTCCCGAGCTTGACAGCATCAAACATTCTGATGCAAACTAGGGTGCAGCACCAGGTTCGTTTTTTTCTTTTTTTCTGCCAACTAAAGAAGTAAACAGCAGGAAAGAAGTGTTACTGGGATTTTGGGGGAGCCCTGCAGAACCATCACGTGATGCCCAGGAAATCAGAGTCCCCTCTTGGGGTTCTTAGTCCCATTAATAAAAGAAGCTCAGACAGAACACAAACGGAAGCTCAGGGCCAACGCACAGAGTTTCCACAGAACGCTCCAGGCAGGCAAGCTGTAAATCTTCTGTCTGAAAGAGAGGAGGACAAAGGAAGAGAAGGAACAAAAACCAGCCCACAGCGGGTCGGTGGCGCACGCCTTTAATCCCAGGACTCAGAAGCGGAGGCAGAGGCAGGTGGATCTCTGTGAGTTTGGGGCCAGCCTGGTCTACAATGGTTGAATTGTGAATACCAGGACACCCAGGGCTATGTAGAGAGATCCAGCTCAAATAAATAAATTAATTAATTTAAAAAAAAAAGCGCCGGGATCCTTGAGATAAGGGGGCGTGGAGGTCAGCCACTTACAGAGCGCAGTCACCATCAAGAAGGGAGATTTAGAAAAAAGAACAATTAAGGAGTTAAAAATCATACTTAGAGCCAGGCGGCAGTGGCGCATGCCTTTAATCCCAGCACTCGGGAGGCAGAGCCAGGCGGATCTCTGTGAGTTCGAGGCCAGCTTGGTCTACAGAGCGAGTTCCAGGACAGGCACTAAAACTACCCGGAGAAACCCTGTCTCAAAAAACAAAACCAAAATCATACTTAGGTTCTGGCGGACGTGGGGCAGGCAACAAGGCTGCCCCACGTCCTTGCTGAGTTGGGCTTCAGAAAGATGGGCAGACCTAGCTGAACCTCAAGTCCACTCATAGGGGATGCGGCAGAGAACAGGAAATCTGGAAAGGAAAAATGGATTGCCTTAAGGGGACCTCGATTCCTGGGGGTGGCCCCTTTACCGGATACCTCACCTGCGCCACTGGGTTAAGGGAAGAGATAAGGGCACATCTCTGCCTTCATGTAGTTTCTATTCTTTACACTCATCCCCGCTTCGCAGATGAAAAGCTGAAGGCTGAAAGGGGTTAACTACCTCAGACCCTGTCTCCGAGTTTCAGATGGAGGGCAGAACCAGCTACATAACTTGTAGGCCTGGTGTGAAATGAGAATGAAATACGTTCAAATCTTTTAAAATTTCAATATGGCGGCAGAGGACCGACCCCAAATGTGGGCCGTGCTAAGTGGGGGAGTGAGCCAAGACTTCCGTGGTGGGCCAGAGCATGTTCTCGCTCCCCACAGCCGCTCCTTGGGCTCCTGGCCTGAAACCCCCAGGGTGGCAAGGGGTCCTCTCCAGCAAGTCTGCAGACTGAGGCGCCTGGACCCAGAGGACCACAGGCTCCAGGCAAGGGCCCCCTGCGCCACTGACTGCATTAGCAGAATTCAATTGTGATGCCCTCTAACTGCAATCCTTTTCTAGGAACAAGAGACCAAACTGAATTAGAGTGAGCGCCGTCCATACTTTCATTCATAGGCAGAAAAAAAAAATGGAATAAAAGCAAAATTAAATTTTACTTTGTGGTCCTGGACTTAGGAGGCAGAGGTCCTAGAGTTGGGTTTGCCTCGGACAATTCAGCGTGCCTGGGAGCCAAGACTTGTCTTTTGGCCTTCGTTTCTTTATCTGTGAAATGGGAATAAAATAACTGCTTGCTGACTTCTAGAAAGATGAAATTAGGTACTGTTCAATTTTAGAGAGTTCTATGATTCCCTGAAGCATAAATCCGGAATCCCGCAAATGCCTAGAGGTCAATTTAAAACATCCAAAATAAGATGCTGGGGGTGGGGCTCAGTTGGTAGGCTGCTTACTTAGAATGCATAAATATCTGGGTGGAGTCAAGAGGATCAGATGTTCAAGGTTATCCTCATGCAAATACTGTTTGTCTCAAGCCACTCTGCTTATCAGCACACTGAAGCACAAAGTCTAGTCTGAACTAGTCACTCTTTTCTTAGCAGCCAAGCCCCAGGACCCGTGCATGACTTTATTTCACTCCAGCATGAATATTTCATAAATTACATGCAATTATTAACAACATCAACACTAGCAAATTAATTACTGTCAATTCATATTAATAAAGTTGCGTTTTGTAATAAATAAAGGGAGCTCACCCGGCCCCATCCGTCTCTAGGGCATTCACGGTTGTCAATTGTCCTCTACTTCAGGCTAAAACAAAAGTAATCAAATAACTAATTATTGTACAAAATGTATCACCGCTTACACATCAATGAAAACTCAGTTATTTATAACCTCAAGGACTGAATATTCAAAGTAGTGTTTATTCCTATGCTAAGAGGAATTTTCCAACCTTCTTTTTACATACTCCTGGGTCTCCACCCTCCACCATCTGAGTCCTGGGGAAAGTGTCCAGCGAGGACCGTCTGTGGGGACTGCCACCAGGAAGAGACTGACTCAAGTCAGAAGCCAGCAAGGTGTGGAGGCTCTGTCTCAGGAGTCCTCCCATGTTTGGGACCCAGTGACTCCGTTTTCTTTTCCTTTTTTTTTTCTTTCTATTTTTAATGTGTGTGTGTATGATGCATGCATAGATGGATGTTTTTGCATGTCACCGTGTGGTGACATTTGTGGGGGTGTACCTGAATCTGAGCGTGTATGCATGTGGAAATCTGAGATTGTGTTGGAAATCATTCTCAATTGCTCTTCCACCTTTTTCAGTGAAGTAGGTAGGGTATCTCAATCAAACCCAGAGCTCGCCAATATGACTAATTTTGCTAGCCAGTTTGCTCAGGGATCCTATCTCCACTTTCCAAGGCTGGAATTACAAGTGGTCCGCCATGCCTTACAGTCTTCAGGCTTGCAGAGCCTGTGGCTACATGCCAAGAATGGTCCTTCAGGAGTTCAGGGAAAACAAACACAGGGCTTTTCTAACTAGGGCTGTCACCAAAAGTGTATGAGATGACCAGCGCAGGCAAGTGGGACTGGCATATGGACTGGCATATGGTAGGCACACTGCAAATAGTTTGCGGTAGTTTGGATAAGAATGGCTCCTATAGGTTCATGTATTTTAATGTTTGGTCCCCAGTTGGTGGAACTGTTTGGGAAGGATTAGGAGGTGTGGCCTTGTTGGAGGAGGTGTGTCACTGGGGGCGGGCTTTGAGGTTTCAAACGCGCCATTCCCAGTTAGTTCTCCGTGCCTTGTGCCTGTAGATCAGATGTAAGCTCTCAGCTACTGCTCCCGTGCCATGCCTGCCTGTCTATTGCCATGCTCCCTACCATAATGGTCATAGACTCACCCTCTGAAACTGTAAACAAGACCCCCAGTTAAGTGCTTTCTTTTATAGATTGCTTTGGTCATGGTGTTTCTTCACAGCAATAGAAAAGTAGCTAAGACATACTTGATGGCTGAATGGAGAAGATCCAAATGAACTGATGTCTGGGGATAAGAAAGGAATAAGATGGTAGACAGGAGGCTGTGCAAATACTATTTTAAGTTAAGGGAACAGTGGCTGGGATGTCATCTCCAAACACCTAGGCAAGCTGTAGGTGGCGAGGCAGTAATAACAGCAGCAGAGCTCACATTGCTGAGCAATTAAGTCTTAGGAAATATGCCTCATTTTAATAAAAATAAGTTATCATTATGACACTCATTTACAGCTGAGGAAAGGAGGCTCAGAGAAAAGAAGCCACTTGCACAAGTTCCCAGATTGACAGATGGCAGATGCAGAACTTGGGAGCTGATCCGTGGACTCTGGGATCTGCAAGAGTCAATTTGTCAGCTTGAGTGGATTATGCTCGCTTGAGTTTGGGGCAAGTCCATGAGTGTCCAGAGCAGATTAACTGAAGGGAAGACACACTCCACATCTGGGTGGCACCACCTCCTGGAAGAGGTTTCTGGCTAAAAAAATCAAGGAGAAAGCCAATGGTGCACCAGAATTCGTGGCTCTCTGCTTCGTGACTGGAGACACATGTGACAGATGCCTCATACTTCTGCCTTCCCCTCTATGATGGACTTCACCATCTCTGAGCACAAGCCAGAAGAAATCCTTCCTTCTTTACAGTGCTTCTCATAGTGATCACAAAGACAAACAGAGAAACTAACCCAGTCTTGATCTCAACCATGCTGGCTTTCCTAGTTCACAGCATTGTGGACATCAGGAAGCTCTTTTGAGGAGCAAGGCAGACAGGGGCTGGGTCCGGACCTCTGTGTCAGGAGAGAGGGCCACCAGGAAGGGCACATGATCCACCTTGGTGACTCCAAGGGGTCAAAGGAGGTGACCAGTGTAACTATGCCAAACCAAATGACTGCAGACAGCACTTTCTTAAAATCAGAACTCCAGATGGGTGGCTTTTATTACAGGCTTATTACACAGGTGAGAAAGTGTCATCAAGTTTGATAAATATCCCTTTCCCAAACTTGGAGAAATCAGCCCACATCCAACATGCTCTATCCTTTCACAATATACACGTGTGGATTCAGACATACAAACAAAAACAACATAAAGTAGAATTTTTAAAAAGCCTTCAGTCTCCCTCAAGCGGAGTGAAATATTAAGCCATCTTTCAGAAGCCCCAGGGACACACTTTCAATGAAGAAACACAGTGCTGAACTGAAAGATCTCGGATTCAAATGTCCCTGAAGCCCTGGTTCTGGACAGACCCTGCACTGGGCATCATCTCTTCACTATCCCACTGAGCCGTTCAGTAGGGATGCAGAGACACTTGCACACCTGGAAACAGAATCATTAGAAGGGATGGTGGCAGGTAGGGGCCATGACAACACACACACACACTTCAGATCTAGGTCACATGATCCTTTCCCTACTGGATTTGATTCGGAGATGGTCTTCAGGGACCACCACTTCACAGAAGGAAAGGTAAACCATGCAGCTAGTTAAGAGTAATGGAACCCACCTTCACCAGCCCCTGGCTCCCAAGCCAGGGGCTCCAGTTTCCACTCTGTCTGCTATTTCTGCCACAGAAAGCATCCCTCTGCAGAAACAAACAAGCAATAAGAAGTATATATGCACATATGCATTGACACATTTTTCTTAAAACCTGCAAAAATCATTGCATCCAGAAGGCCAAAGTCAATATGACATTATCCTTAATGATGCTCTTCCTCCACATTTTCCTCCCTGCAAATTTGCTTTCCGACAGGAAGAGTTAAGTAGAATGACCATATTAACTCAGAATTTCTTGCTTTTAGCATCGCCTTCGTGTGATTCAAATTTAGCTGCTTTGCATCTAGTGGAAGCATTACACACACACACACACACACACACACACACACACACACACACACACACGTAATTTGACATTCAAAGGATGAGTGAAAAAAGGCCAGAAAAAAGAAGAGACATATTACTTAACTTTATGATGATAATTACCTGGGCACAAAGGCACTTACAAGAACATTCTATGTTGGATATTATCCAGAAAAATTAAACCTATGTTGCTGCCTTAATATATCTGAATACTAGAAACTAACAGGGAAAAAAAAGTCTAGTCTATGAATAATGGCCTCTACAGCCCTGGAAGCCAGCAGTACATAAGATGGTTTTTGTTTTGTTTTCTTTTCTTTTTTCTTTTTGTATTGGAGCAGGCAAGCTCTCTTTAAAAAAAAAAAAAAAAAAAAAGGGAAAGAAAAAGTCTCCAGCCTTTTCCAAAATGGTGCTAATGCGCCACAGAAACTTAATTTTATAATTTACTGGCAGTCAAGATGGCAGGAAATAAAATAATTTGCTATATTCTGCACAACAAACCCTGCTTTTCCTGGGAAGGGGTAATTATCCCCATGGGAAAAAAAAGAAGAAGAAAAAAATACGCCATCTCATATTAAGCTAAAGTCTCATCAAGAAGAGAAAAAGTGCCTCATTACGTGTAATTACCAGAGAATTAGAAACATCATTTAACTAAATGAGCGAATAATGCTCAGGATATTGAAGAAACTTGCCTGCACTTCTGCAAAGCACTCTAAGTCCCATTACAAAAATTGCCCCTCTTTAATGGAATAATTTTAGGCCTTGTCTGCCTTGCTTTAAAAATAAAGAGCCTCCGAGAGGCAGAAAGAGGCTGGCACTGCCATAAACAACTGTTGGAAGGACCTGGAGAAGGCGCTGTCTCTCCTGGAGACCAAGATTCACAACGGCTCATAATCTACTGTAATCAGGAAAATTAAACCTGAGGGCTGGGAGAAAGGACTAACCCCCCTGTTTAATTGTGCTTCCTCAAGACGGCGTCGTCCTTGGAGTGTGTATTAGGAATAGCAGATGAAAGCTTTTCAAATTCGGGGAGAGCTTCCCTGCTCCAATACAAAAGCAGTTATGGCCATTGGATGTCTTCTTTAAAAAGGAAAATTATAACATACCTGCAGAGTGTCGTATACTGTGGCTTAATGCAATGATTTTTTTTTTTCCCCAGCCATTTAAAAGCTTCCAAGCTTAGGCTGGGATATCTCCTCCCCTTCCTTCTTTGCTTTTAAATTCTGTGGAGAGTTAGCATAAAAGCAGCAGGTTTACTTGTTTGTTTGCGCATGTGTACATACCCTCAACACAGCCCATCTCACTTGCAGTAAGTAGATGGTTCTCTCCTTCCAACATGTGTGCTGGGATCAAACTCAGATCATCAGGCTTGGAGACAGGTGCCCTTAGCCACCTTACTGGGTGTAAAGGCAGCAGATTTAAATCACTGCCCCAGCCTCCAGCAACACTAACCTTAATCTTTATTCACCAGGGAACCAGGGTAGGAAAGACATCAATAATGATCACTTTGATTTTTATATTTGCTTGTTTAGTTAGCTGTCAGGTGTATGAATGCTTTGCCTGCGTGTGTGTCTGTGCACCCTGTGCGTGCCTGGTGCCTGCAGAAGTCAGAAGAAGGCATCAGATCCCCAGCAGTTACAAGCAGCTGTGAGCTGCCATGTAGGTGCTGGGAACTGAACCCGGGTCCTCTGCAAGACCAACAAGTGTGTTCTTACCGCTGAACCAACTCTCCAGTTCAGGAAATAATCAGTATTGGTCAGAAGCTTGGCAGATGATCTGGGGAGGGTCTCCAGGGGTCACTCTCAGGAAGAAACCAGAGCATCAAGTCCTGAGACCCAACAAGGAGCCACTCACCTCCATCCCCACTCCAGGGCCAGGCCTTGCCTAGGTCTGGTATGGGTAGGACAACAAAAGAGACTTCCGGCTGTCACCTACTTCAGCCACTCATCTTGGCAGTGAGGAAGCGAAGACAGGCCCAGGCCACAGAGCTTCCTGCTCAGGTCCCTCACGGCCAAGTCTGTATTTGTGTGTGTCAATCACAGTTACCACTCAAAATGCTCTGCCCCAGCAGGGTTCGGGGAGGTTGCAAGGGCAGAGGGTGGATGTGAGGGGATGGGGAGATAAGTGGGATTGGAATGCATGATTGAAATTCACAAAGAATCAATAAAAGTTTTAAAAAAAAAAAAAAAGAATGCTCTGCTCCTCAGAGCTCTGTGGCCCAAGTGCATTCTTCCTGGTCCAGAACACGTCAGTGACAGCATGAGGGTAAATGACAGTGGAAGTGTGGTGGGTGTGCCGGTCTGGACACAAACACCTGCCCTGGAAACGACGCTCCATCTCCGAAGACGAATTCTTCTGCCTCCCTGGGCCCTCGAACTGCTCCCTCTGAACCACTAGGGAGGGTCCCGTACCCAAGAAATCAAAGTTTAACAAAAGGTACCTGAAGTGGTTGATTTTCTCAGAGAGGAGAACGATTTTTACACAGATAAATCTGAAATCACGTTTGGGTTTAGTGACCAGCAAAGTCATTCATTCAACTCTGAGATGGAACTTGGCACTGTGGAAGTTCCCAGATGAAGGGGGTAAGGGAAAAAATCCTCCTCCTATACTACACAAATGAAACGAAGAAACAAGGCCACTCCACCGTGACACAGACGACAAACGTCATCTCCGGAAATGAGTCGGGTGAACTGATTTCCCCATCGCGATCACACAGCTAGCAAGAGGGGTCCAGGAGCAGAACGCAGGTTCCCTGGCTGCCTTCTCTGCTGAGAAGCAGCCAGAGTGCTACCAAAGATACCTCCCACCACAGGACAGCACTTCCCAGCTCGATTCCGGGTGATCTCACTGGACTCCCTCAGATTGAGTCTCCATTTCACACCCAAACTTGAAATGATCCACACAGTCACTCTGTCACCAGCTGCCTGGCCCGGGGGTCACACGGACAGTAGAGGTAGAAATACACCCGAGAGGACCGACGAGATGGCTCATCGGGAAAGGTGCTTGCTGACAAACCCGTGCCACACCCTGATTTCCATCCTCCAAGGAGAGAATTGACTCCTGAAAGTTGCCCTCTGATCTCTACACGTGGGCTGTGGCACACACACACACACACACACACACACACACACACACACACACACAAATACATTCATACATGTTTTAATGGCCTGAAGTGTTGTGAGCAATCCTTTGACTCCTTTGGTTCATTTTAACAGCCAGTTTATTTTCTCAGTGTAGGTGACAGGGAATGCTGTAATTATTCGAACCACTCCTGTCATTTTTTCCAGTTGTTTCCAACCAAGCCCATCTTGTGCCATTAGTAAGGCAATTTTTTCCCCCAAGATGGGGTTTCTCTATATACCCCTCCGGCTGTCCTGGAACTCACTCTGTAGACCAGGCTGGCCTCGAACTCACAGAGATCTGCTTGTCTCCACCTTCCGAGTGCTGGGATTAAAGGTGTGGGCCAAGGGCAAAGTATTTTTAAATCACATAAGTTGCCTAGTCAAGCTGGCACATACCTCACACTGATCACCCTGTGCTCTGAACACTACAGCAGTGACAGCCCAACAACAAAGAGCCACAGAACTCTGAAATAAAAAATAAGCACTCCTGTGAAGTTGAACGGCTGATCTCTGGGACCATAGAGAGGAGGAGGCTGCAGGGATTTTAAACCATTGTGAGCAAACTAAAATAGCCAGGCAGGTGATAGAAGATGTCAAGAAAAGCCAGCAACAGCAGCCAGGGCTAAAATGGATTGGAAAACCTCCACTCAGATAAGCCTGCCGATCCAAACCACAAGCAGAACATGTATTTACAGACAGGCGCGGTGGTGGCACAGACCTGTCATCCCAGCAGAGGAGGCAGAGGCAGGAAGGAGGAATGCCTAAAGTTCCAGGTCAACCTGGAAAACATAGTGAGACTGTCTCAAAAAACATACAAGGGCTGAAGAGATGGCTCAGAAGTTAAGAGCACTGGCTGCTCTCCCAGAGGACCCAGGTTCAATTCCTAGTACACACCTGACAGCTCACGATGCCCTCTTCTGTAGGACGAAGTGCTTATTAATAAAAAACCTGGCCAGACATAGGGGTAAAAATCTGAGAGATCAAAAAAGCAGACAGAAGCCAGCTACGTTCTTACCATTTGGAAGTCCTCCGCCAAAGAGACCGACTTCCTGTTTACCCACACCTATATGCTTTTCTGTTCTGCATTTCACTTCCTTTCTCTGACCAGCTACATCACTTCCTCTCCCTGCCCAGCTCTGTCACTTCCTGTCTGTCTGTACAAACCTCCAGACTTTTATGGTTAACTAGTGTTGGAATTTAAGTTGTGTGCCACCAGCCTGGCTCTGTTCCCAGTGTGGCCTTGAACTCACAGAGATCCAGACAGATCCCTGCCTCCCGAGTGATAGGATTAAAGGCATGTGCTACTATTGCCTGACTTCTATGTTTAACATAGTAGCTGGCTTTTTCCTTTGATCCTCAGATAAACTTTATTAGGGTACACAATATTTTGGAGGACACAATATTTATTATCACCACACTCTTCTGACTTCTGTGGACACCAGGCATGCATAAGGATGTACACACATGCATGTAGGCAACACGTGTGCACATGAAATATATTTTTCAAATTAAAAAGACAACAAAAAATAAAAATAAAATGCTTTTCTTACATATTGAATTTTTAGTTTTATCCACCAAAGATCATGTTTGAAATGTTCTAAGAGCTAAATGAAGCAATCTGTGAAGTCATGTAGCAAAAGTCAGTAAATACAAGAGACAGATAAGAAAAAAAGTTGAGGGCTGGTGGGATGGCTCAGAAAGTAAAGGTGCCTGCCACCAAGCCTGGCAACCTGCAGTCAATCCCCAGAAGACCCACAGAGTATAAGAATAGAACTGAGTCCCACAAGTCATCCTGACTCTCTACACATACACCCCAATCCAGACACATAAATAAAAAAATAAATAAATCAATAAATACAATTTAAATTTTTAAGTGGACATGGTTAGCTCACAGCTTGAGAGAGAGCAAGAGAAGGGAGAGAGAGAGAGGAAGAGAAAGAGAGAGAATTGAAAACCTAGAAATGAAGAAAAACTAAAATAAACTCTGGACTAGACAGAGTTCATAAATTGCAAAAAGAGTTCTATGGAACTTACCCAGAACATGGCATGGAGAGAAAACAAGATGCTTATGAAAAGATTAATTAATATGGAGAAAATGCTACGGGGTGGGGTGGGGGGATGTATGGGCAGGTGGGAAGCCAACACTCAGGGATATAACAACATTGTGGCCGAAAAGAGCTTTGCACTACCTCTGAGTACCAGGCAGGGATATATAAATCCAGAACTAAACAT